TTTTACCTTTTTAGATTATTAGAGGTTTAATTGAAAGTTTCTAAAATTAATAAAATTAATTGGCTTATGTGCTTCAGGTCAACTGAGGTGGTATCATTGGTCAGTGTTACTTCTCTATATTAAGATGGAATTTTTGTTTTTCTTGAGTGATGTTGGGATTTCAGTGTATTATCTTCTCTCTTAGATATTTTCAGCCACCTGGAACTTGGATACAATGTGCATTAGAATCCAGGGAACTTCTTGCTTTGTGTTTAAAAAAAATAAAAGCCCCTTTGAGTAAGGTAAGTCAAATAGCTAAAATCAGGTTTTATAGTTTTTGTTTTTTAATTAAGCTCTCATTTAGAGAAAGTCTTGTATACATAAGTTGTTATTTAAATACAGCTATTAAATATTACTTCTACAAATCCTGCTTTTATTTTTAAAGTGACTGTACATAATTCCCTCTTATTCTATTTTATTGTGAATGGCAGCCATTCATCTTACATTTGAACAATTTTCCATTATAGCTATTCCATATGTTGATGCTGTCCTCTATTAGTGGGCACTTAGGTTGTTTCTTAGCTATTGTAAAAGATGCTGCAATAAACATGAGAGAATATGTAATCTTTGAGTTGATAAGTTTCATATTCTTCAAAGAGATACATCAGAGTGGGATTTCTGAGTTACAATATTTTCATTTTCAGTTGTTCAGGGTAAATCCCCATCACTTTCCACAATGGCTACAATGGTTTATAGTCTTATCAATAGTATGATAGAGTTTCTTTTTCTGTTGTTGCACTTTTTTAATATGTACCATTCTTTTGGATGTGAGATGATACCTTTTGTGGTTTTGACCTGCATCATCTTTAATAAAGTGACACTTTCCTATCTATCGATCCTCTTCGGTGAATTGTCTTTTAGGATGTATTGACCATTTGTTAATTAGGTTTTTTAAGTGTTAAGTTGAATAGATTTTGTATATATCTTGGATATTAACCCCATGTATGTAGTATATGTTAACTGTTGCCCCAGGATGGTTTATGAATATTTTTCCCATTCAGTAGGATGTCTTTTTAACCTACTTGATTTCTTTTACTGTGTGAAAACTTTCTAATTTGAAGTAATTCCAGTTGTATATTTTTACTTTTATTCCCTGTTCTTGTAAGGGTCCAGTCTCCAAAAATTTCTTTATCATGATGACATGAAATGTACTGTCAATTACTGCAGGTTTTAGATTTGTCTTTAATTTTTTTTT